TCACTGGGGGCAGTGCACAATCACATGGGGGAAATGTCTACAGAGAACTTTCCGGATTCGAAAACCTGGAGAAATGGTTCCCTCAAGCTAACTGTGGCCCTATGTCCTGGATAATCCATCTCATGATCTTATCTGTGAAGAGGCCAATTTAAGGGCCTTCCATAGACACTTGGGAGTCCCTTCTGTCCTCCCGAAGTAACTTCCCTTGAAGATTATGGCCTCCAGCAAGTCTGAAATATTGTCTCTAAGATCAGATAACATGAACCTTCCTGTGGGTCCAAACTCAGAAGGGGCCCTCACAGCAGCTGAAGAGCGTGGCTCACTGCTTGGAAAGCTGTACAGAACCAGCATTTAATCACAGCCTAGCCAAGGCAAGACCTCGTCCCCAGGGCAACGGCCTGGCGGCAGACCCACACATCTGGTGCAGCCTTCCCAGGGATGTTGGGGTGCTGAGCCTGGTTCTGCTGGGAAGGCCCATCTCACTCTCTGATCACTCTCTCAGGGGCTAGGCCTCAGCCCTGCCTCCCTCACCTGCCTGTTGGCAGCCAGATGAGGAGCGCTTATTCCCCTAGAAGAACTGAGCCTATCTGTAAGGACCTATCTTTTCTTTTTACAAGGAAAAAAAAAAAAAAAGATGGGTGGAGAGGGATAAAGTCTGACGTCATGGGCCTGCGTAGGACAGTGGGGTTGGAGGCCATCTGGAGCAGGTGCTGGCAGGGCCCCTGGGAAAGGGGAAGGAGGGCAGCTGCCTTGTCAGGTGGGGGTGTCCTAGGGTCAAAAAAGACTCAAATCTTTCCTGGAATTACTGGCCTACAAAGGATGCTTGATGACATTTTCTTGGCCTCCCACTCGTCTCCTAAAGGCCAGACCCGTAGGTGAGGGCCTCTTGGGGGAGGTGCCAGGTCCAAGGAGACCTAGCCAAGCCTCCGTGTCCCCCACGGCTGCACACTATCAAACAGTCCCATTCATCATGTTGGGCCCTGCCGCCTGGAAGAGTGCGTACGTGTGAGCGGTGACATTCAGATCCCCCATCTGCCTCAGCTGCTTCCTGCCGCTCAGCCAGATTCACTCTGCCCCCGTCCAGGAGGCAAGGACGGCCTTTTCCCAATTACAGGTGGTGAAACTGAAGGCCCTGCACAATGATGAGATTTGGCCAGGATCCTGCTGCAATTTCCCTGCCTGGCCTCCCCAACAACAGCTCACAGCCTGTTTAGTGTCCTCTCTGAGAAGTTATGCAGCTGGAAAGGGGCCCCGGGATGAAATAATTGCAGAGAAAACAGATGGGCTTCTCAGTGATCCTCCCTCCTCTGAGGGCCTGAGAATCCACCCGTTACCCCAGGGGCAGGGGGGGCATAGCTGCCAGTGGACCCTGCCTCCTCCTGTTCATGACAGGGCGGTCCTATCGCAGTGGCCCTCACACAGCTTCCCAGCAGCTTCCACCTCTGCAATAAGACCTCTTCAGCTTTCCACCCTTTCTGGACTGGACAGCAGCTATCCCAGGAAAGTCCTCTGTAATGGGCACATTTTCCCTTCCCCTTCTTGGAAAGGAAGAGGGGGGATTGGGGTCTTTATCCTTAGGTCCCTGCCCTTCAAAGAGCCAGGAGAGAGAGAAGGGTCTTGGCCACACCACCCTCATCCCTGAGTTTGAGGGTTAGCATCCTTCAGTGTTTATCTGACTTACTACTCCCTGGTCTATCTGCCCCGCCCCACAGTGGCCACTCTCTATCTGCCTTAGCCCCCTGGCTCCCCCAGGCTCACTTCCTCTCCCACCCCAAGTACACGGCGACTTTGTGGAGAAAACCCTCTGTCACATCTTGCACAGACGCTGCTTTGGACCCCAGAACTGCCTCTCTTCTGGGCCTGTTTCCACTGAGTACCCTACCTAAAGCCTTCTACCCTTCACTCACCACCGTTAGCCTCCTGTCCATCTCAGCGGCACAGGGCTGTCTATTCAAAAGCTTCTCATTTGATTGGGTTTTGTTGTTTGTTTGTTTGTTTCTTAGATGATAGTCCTAAGCCCTAGTCTTCCAATAAACCCAATCTATCTCCATCTTTTCCCTGTGTGGGATGCTCAGTTCTGACTTCTTCTCTGGGAATCCTGACCTGCTGGCTGAGATTGAGAGAAGCCCTCTGGCATCTCTAGCATCGTGTTTCCCAGCTGATAAAGCCGGTGTCTATTTTGTGTCATCTTCTTTGCTGAGATGGAACTCAGTGACTAATGAGCAGGCTAAAGGGCAGCCATGAAGGCATTTGAGACAGTTGTGAATAACAAATGATCAGATGCCCTACAAAACTGCTAACCCTCCTTGAGTCCCAAAGGTCTTTTCTACCTCCTTCGAGTCAAGAGGAATTGAGGACTTTTGTTTATTGGGAGCTTTTTTAAATTGTTAATTTGTGTATGAGTCTGTGTCTGTGTGGGGGTATGTGCACATGAGTACAGTTGCCCGCAGAGGTCAGAAGAAGGCAATGGATCCCCTGGAGTTAGAGTTAGAAGTGGTTGTGAGGTTCCCCCCCTCAGCCATGTGCTAGGGACCAACCTCAGGTCCTCTGCAAGAGCAATACATGGCCCTAACTGCTGAGTCATCTCTCCATCCCCTGGGGAAATTTTTAACACTGAGCAGCCAAGACTGTACCTGATCAGTTCATTCCAGCTGCTCAGTGGGCTGGCACACTGCTCCTCACCTACACCTGGCCCCTGGAGCCAAAGGAAGGAAAGATAGAAAGGGAGCCAAGACCCCAAATCTAGGCCCAGGAGAAGCCATGAGGGCAGGGAACCTTTGGTCTCTAAGCACTTATGTTCTCACCGCCCTGCCCTAAAGTCCCTGCAGTTTAGCTCTGCACTTCCTGTCCACGCAGTTCCTGCCCTAGCAAAGTGGAATACAGTGATAGCAATTGAGGCAACAGGGAATCCTAGCCCAAGGTTAACTCATCCAGGCTCTGCCCTAACTGACCACAGCTCAGGGACCAAGAGCTGCAAGCCATCTGGAGTCACTTGCAGGTCAGTGAAATGGCTTACTGTGCAAATGCGCTTTCCTCCAGGAAGCCTGAGTTCCATCCCCAGGCTTCCTCAGGGTGGAAGAAGAGAAGTGACTCCTGCAAACTGTCCTCTGACCTCCACATGCACACCAGAGTACACACACACACACACACACACACACACACACACACACGCACACACACACACACTTAAACATTTTCTATTGAAGAGATGGAGAGTGGAGTGCAGGATGTAGTCCCACATGAGACTGAGGGTATCCGTTTTACTGTTAGTCTCAAAACTCCTAGAGAAAACCTAGTTATCAAGCCATCACCAGATATGCCCAGGACATGCAAGACAGGGAAAAACAAACAAACAAAGAAACCACCTCTGTAGACATTAGAAAAGAGGTAGCTGTCAGGACTGAATGTCCCCAACCTACCCTTAATAAGGGACCTTATAAGTCGTAACTGCAATCTCCAAGTGTGGATGTCACCTCCCACCACTTAGTCAAGAGAAGTTCCACAGGCCAGCTGAAGACCTCACCCTAGACTTCCTTGCTCCCTTCCCTTTTCAAATGCAATAAGGCTGTCGTTTCATAAGTATTAACATGGAAAGGCCATGTGTGGGAGGAGCATGGACGTGGGCAGCCAATCTTCCAGGGCTGAAAGGACTTGGCGTTGATGTCTAGATCTTTCTCCAGGTGACAGATATGCTAACCCAAATCAGGTTTTACCATGAATCTTTTTCCTAAACGAAAGGCTGGAAGGAGCTTGTGGTCATGATTTGGGGACTTTGGAGTGTCATGATGGGAATGGACAAGGAAGAATGAGACAAACACCATGCCCTTGCTTCCTCTGTACCTTCCAGAACATTTGTCCTCCAGACCTATGGTGACCCAGCAGGTCTCACTGCCTCTACCCCTGTCCTTCTATAAAATACTAACTCTGGCTCCTGCCCTCCAAATCCCTCCCCAGGGTTCTTTTCCTTCTGGAGACCATAGGCACCCTGTGAATGTTCCTTTTCCTCTCTCAAGCTTGAGTCCTGTCCCTCAGAAGGAACACAGACTCCTGAACATCACTTGAATCCTGAGACTACAAATTCTCTAGCGGCTGCTAAGTTACAGAGCCCCCCCATCGTCTGAGGGACCAAGATTCCAGGCCAAGGAGAGAAATTGTATGCAGCAGGGATAAATGGCCTGGTCTCCATAGCAAGAAAACAATTCTCTGCAGTCTGAAACTCAAAGGCCATAATGACCTGTCAAGGCTTGGAGCCGGGCAAAACCCCAGTACTGCCTATAGTTTCCTATGGTGTTCAGGACACTAAAGTGGACATCCCCGCCTGCAGGCTGAGTCAGTACACCATTGAAGGAAGGACATCTGCCTCCTAGCCTCCCAATGCCCCCTTAAACACCCCTCCACACCCTCCTGGCTCATACACGTAGATTGATGACATCTTCGCTCTTGTGAGTACTGGTTGATACTGTAGGCTAACACTTCCCCTTTTCAGCTACAGCCGGCAAGCTCTCCCACTGGGAATCGCTAGACTCCATCCTCTGCCTTCCCAGTGTAAGAGCCTTGTGGGGAGGAGGTCAGCGCTTCAAACCACACTAGCACGAGCCAGGCTTTAGCGAAGAGTTAGGAAACAGGGCGGTCTACTTGGATTTCGGGCTGCACCAACTTTCTACCTGTGTAATTTTGCATAAGCGACATTTCTTCTAAGCCTTTGCACCTGCAAGAGTAGTACACATGCATACCAGGAACATGCATACCAGTGCGCGCAGTGAGGACCCAGTCGGTCGGTACACAGTGCACTGGACGCCTAGAAGCCCAGAGCGAGCGCATTCTACAAAAGGAGTTCCCTTGTGCGCGCCGCTTTGTGGCTCTGAGCGCAGCCCGCCGAGCCTCGGGATCCTTTGGAGGTGGGATGTGGGTGGGGGCAGAAGGGGGAGCCCCCGCGCCCCCCTCCCGGCCGTCGATTCGGCCGCGTGCGCTGTGCCATTGGCCCTGGCGGCCCGGTGGGCGGGAAGATGACATCAGCGGCAGGTTGGATTATAAAGGCACCAGCCGAGCCACGGACTCAGAGCGCACCCAGCCGGCGCCCTGCAGCAGTGGGACCTGCGCTCGCCTAGCCAGCCTGCTCCGCATCCGCCTGTCCGACTGCTCACCGGCCGTCCCGGCTGCAGACCGTCTGTACCCCTCGGCCCCATCGGCACCATGCACCTCTCCCAGCTGATCGCCTGTGCCCTGCTGCTCACGCTACTCTCACTCCGGCCCTCCGAAGCCAAGCCCGGGACGCCACCGAAGGTGGGTGCTCTTGCGGGGACGCTGGGCTTGTGAGGGGCGTGGGAGGATGCGGCGCGCAGGAGGGAGCAGAGAGCCCAGAAAGGCAGATCCCTCGGACTTGTGCCCTCAAAGCTAGGACTTCTCTGATTTATTCCTCGGCTTCGGGAGAATGCCATGCACGTCTCCCGTGCCCCAATGTGCCCAACAGGACAAGCGGCATAGGAAGGGCAAGCCCCCCACCCCCCAAAGGAGCAGGAGCAAGGACTGCGTGGCAGGTGGATGCCGGATTGGGCTGTCCCACAACTGTGGGGATGAGCTCACGGCTGGAGAGGGTCACGCCACTCTGAGGCTAGCAAAAGTCACCTGCGCCTCATCCGTGCACTCTTTCACCCGCCCACTCTTTTCTCGGACAGGTCCCGCGAACCCCTCCTGGGGGAGGAGCTGGCTGAGCCCCAGGCAGCCGGCGGCAATCAGAAAAAGGGTGACAAGACTCCAGGCGGCGGGGGGCGCCAATCTCAAGGGAGACCGATCGCGACTGCTCCGGGACCTGCGCGTAGACACCAAGTCCCGGGCTGCTTGGGCCCGCCTTCTGCACGAGCACCCTAACGCGCGCAAATACAAAGGCGGCAACAAGAAGGGCTTGTCCAAAGGCTGCTTTGGCCTCAAGCTGGACCGGATCGGCTCCATGAGCGGTCTGGGATGTTAGTGCAGCGACCCCTGGCGGCGGTGAGTAATACCATGGGACGTTCACAGATCGCCTCTCTCTGCACCAGGGAGAACCTATTACCACCTAGAGCAGGTTGTTTGGTCTCCTTGACCCTTGTGTTCTGTGACCTTCCCCCAACCAATCCGGGCATGGGATCAAGTGTAAGCTAAACAATTGCCTGTTACGTCACTTATCCCGTTTTACAGATTAAGAAAATGAAGTGGTCAGAGTACATGGGCAAGGTCAGGGATCGGGTTCAGCTTAAAGGGCCATCTGGCTTCCTCTAGAAAAGCAGAAACAGGCTTATGTAGGCCCAGTCCCCACACTGGACTACAGACCAGCTAGCAATGTTAGCCTCAACTCAGCCAACTGGGAAATTGTTAGAGAGATCCTGGGAGAAGACCAGGGAAAGGCGCTCTGTCAGCTCTGCAGGCAGCCAGGACATCAAGCGCCAAGACACCTTTCTGAGCCCTGAAGTGAAGCAGGCATGCAGCTGTGCCTGCTCCTCTGCCTGGGGCATTCTGAATCTTACCCCTGCTCTAAACCCAACTGTGGGCAAACTGGTCTATCCAGGGTCCTGATGCTGCAGCCCTGGGGCTCCCGAGATGAACCTTGGGGCTTGTGACCCTATTTCAAGAGAAGCAAAGAAACAAGCTAAGTCTTATTTCTTGCTCTAACTTCAAACTCAGTATATCCTAAATGAGTTCTTTACCAACCATGTCCCCCCATCCCTCCACTCAGCATGGAAACTTTCATCTTACCAACATCCCCATCTGAGGCTACTCTGTGACTTAACTACGAATCTCCTCATCTCCATCCCTGCTGATGTGAAAGACAGAGCCTCACTTAGATAACCGTTGACTACTGCTTCCTAGCTTTGGCTCTTACCAGCTGCCGTATCTTGTCTGTCTCACCTCAGGGGTGAGGAGGCTGCTCTCCCCAACCCAGGGGCCAGTGGCCAGATTTTCCCTACAGGAAACAGGGACATCTCCCCAGTGTGTAGCAAGAGCCCTTTTTCACAGCATGAGAGACCTTCACAGAAGAGCAGCACTTTATGAACTCGTTTTGTGTCCCATACTAATTTGTGAATAACTTAACAGACCCTCGAGAACCCACATCATACCCAGAAAGGAATAGTGAAATAATGAGCAGAGAAATACATGCCCCAGTTCACCAAGCGCCCTGGCTCTAGACCTCAGCGGGCACTCTTCTCTCTACGCCCAGTCTGGAGCAGGTCTCACACTTTGCCCCCGTTCTGCAGGCTGTCGGGATCTCTACTGTCCTTCGTTGAAGGAGAGAACTGACTCTGGTACCTGTGGGCAAGCCTTGAAGCTGCCATTGTGATGCTGTTTGCTCTCTTCTATATGAATACCTAAGAGATGAAGTCTGAGGACTTAGGTTTTCAGTTTTTGGTTCAAGTGCCAAGAATAGACTTTGGAGTTAGTGAACCTCTCAATGGATGAGTGCCTGGGATGAGCTTCTCTGAAGATGCCTTGGGTTTTAGTTTTGGGCATCTGTGGGCACAGGGTGGTGAGAAATGCTAAAGAGGGAAAAAGTCAAGACAATTAAGGTGTCTGCACCCCCTTTGACCAGGGGAGGTCGGCAGCATCCTACAAGCTATCTTGGCATAAATGAACAGCCTTAGCCTTCTCTATCCCATGCCCAGTGAGAGGGCAGCGAGATCACCCTTCCAAAGCTTGCATTCTCCTGGTGGAGCAGATCAGTGAGAACACCTGTCCTTAAGGAAGAGCTCAGGGCTTGTTCTTCATTCTGATAAAAACTGCCAAGCCTGTGACCACATCTCCAACTCAGAGGTTGACTTTGGCTCCAAGCACCATCATAATGACTGTCGCTGATGGTTATAGGTTTTGATTATACTATTGACAGAGACTCAGGTGTGGCCAAGGCCTCAACAGACACTTTGCCTCTGGGCCCCAAGAGCATCACACTTGAAACAGACAAATGAGTTAGGGAGAATTGCCCAGACCATTACAGCAAGGTCCCTTTGTGAATGCTGCCATTTAAGATGGTCCTGCATGTCTGCCTTTTTTTTTTTTTTTCAGAACACAGAGCACTTGCACAGCCAGTAATAGGGACTGGGTACAGTACTTAACACCTTACTGTCCTTCAAACCCACCAATCCAACATGGTTGTCCATTTGCCTGGGCTATTGTTAGACACTAGTTTGCCTGCTGCAGAAGCAGACCTTGAAGTAACCAGTTTCTGAGACAAAGCTAGCTAGGAAAGGAGGTGCTCTTTGCTGCTTGGAAGCTGTGACCCAGACACTGCCGGTGCTTAATGTGTGGCCTTTTGTTGAATCCCAGCGCCAGCTCTGAGAGGTGGCTATTATCCATTTTATGGGTGAGCTCAAAGCTACTCAGGGCCATCCAGGAAGTCAAATCCAAGCAAGGATTTGAGCCCAGAACAGGATACACACACACACACACACACACACACACACACACACACACACACACACACTGATATATTCTTTTCTCTGCACCTACATGGCCAGATGAAAGAAACTGCCTGGAGTTTTGTCTTATAGCAAAAATGAGCTGGGAAATGGCCCCACTATTCCTCACCCACTGCTGAGTGCAAAGCCTGTAGTTAGAGCTTGGGGCAGTAGGAGGTGGGGGCGGGCTGGCAGACATTATGGTTCTACCTGTGCTGGGCCAGCCAGTGCCAATCAAGGACGTGTAGATCAAAGGTACAAGCGCTATGCTTTGTGCTACTGTAAGAAATGGGGAAAGGTTCTAGAATGCCCCTGTGGGCTGGACTTTCTCAGTTGAGAGGTCAGAACTGAGTGTCCTGTGTCCACTTTGTGTTTCAGGATTGGGAACTGCTCCGAACACTGAGGTCATCCCTGGTCATCCGCCTCCAGCATCTGGAAACACCTCCAACGCAATGTGGCTTTTACATTTCTCTTTATTTTTTTCCTCCTGGTACTGGCAATACACAACACCAGCTGTTTTATTATTATTTGGGGAGGGGAGGGTATGATTTTATTGTTTGGGGTTTTTTTTTGAAAATGAAAAATAAAAAGTTATATATTATATATATATTATATACATGAAACACACACTCCTACACCGACTTGATGACAAGGGACAGTTTTTAAAGTGACTGACAAAACCAGCTGTAAAACATTGCTGTTTGTAAATTCACGTCATGCATAAATGTATTTATGTTGTAAAGCTATTTATATTGTTTATAAAGAGATATTTATAAAAATTTTATTTATGTAACTAAATGAAAGAAGCCAACCATTGTAATGTTTTTGTCCTAACTAGTTGAAAAAATAAAAAAAAAAAAAAAAAAAAAAAGCCATTCCATGAACATCTTGAAAATTGTCTTTATTTATTCATTGCTTTTTATTTCAAAAATTAGGCTGAGCAGAGAGAAAGAGAGAGAGAATGTGAAGACAAGTCATTTGCCTCCAAATAAATCTGTCAGTCAGATCCCCAACTGTGGAAATCCCTTGGGGAACCTGGTAAATGCAGATTCCTGCCCCTATCTATTTTTCGATCCACTGAAGGCAGTCTCTAGGGACTGGGCTGGCCATGTGGACCATAGCAGGATAACTAACTGCCAGGTCTGCCCAGCACCTGGGAAACTGATGTCAGAAGTTAAACTGAAGTTGGTCCCCAGTTCCATCCCTCCTGCTCCCTGCTGTGAGAAAAAAATGTTCTAAATTTGCCCTCTGTCTCAGCGGTGAAGTTTCTGTGTGCCCTGTGGGATTTTCAAATTGCCATCTATAAGCCTCTTTTATAGACTTGCTTCCAAGTCTTGGGTGGGCAGCCCCCGCCCCGTAAGGACTGCAGTGGCCAGATGGAACCTTAGGCCACACACCTCTCAGAATGAGCAGGAATGGCCAGATTTTACATGCACACTGTGAGGTGTGTTTTGTAGGGAAGCCTGTTAACAATCACAGCTCCAAAGCTTTGAGTGTGAAATTATGAATAATGATTTGGAATTCATGAATATAATTTAGATTAGAATCTCTTTTCCTGAAATCAGAAGGAAACTTTTAAATAATTCAGTGGTAATCTCACCACATCCTCCATTCAAAGACACAACTGTGCCAGCTTCCCTGATGTCTGACCCCTTAGAGGAAAGCAGAGCCATAAAGAGCCCCCCCACCTCACCAAAACCGAGTGTAGTGGCACACTCCTGTATGCCCAGCACTGGAGAAGCAAGAGAATTGTCACAAGACTGAGTCCAGCCTGGTGTACAGAATAAGTCCCTGGCCAGCCAGGCCTACGGAACAAGACCTGGGGGAAAGAATAAAAAAAATAAAAACCTTGGTGACATCACTTTACCAGGTGGATTGGGAATGTGTGTGGTCCTGTGTCATGGAATCAGCATGAGTTCCTAAGAGTTCCTAAGAGTTCCAGGAGACAATTGCCACTGGGGGGAAGGGCTGAAATACCTGGTAACACCTGGTCTTTCTATGGCCACCCAGGTCCATGACCTTGTTGACTCCTAGGTGGCCCCCCAGCAGCAGGTTCTCACAGATCTGGATGGCCAACACAATAAGATGCAACCCAGCTGAAGACAGCTGGAGCCCTTCCTATCTTCTCAATTTCCAGGACCCTAGGGGACATTCCCAATCCCCTCCTGGGGGGGGGTCAACTGACCAGTCATGGGTGTGGCTGCCTTCCTTCATCTGTCTCGCTCCCAAGTCTATGGCTAGAGACCCAGTACCAGTGTCAGGCAGGGTAAGGGTTGTAGTATCCAGACTGCACAAGTGCCTCAGCTTGCTGTGTAGGTGGGCACCTAAAGCCTGGTAAATAAGAATCTGGGAAACAATATGCTGATGGATGTTTATTCGGGGAGAAATCACTTACACTAGAAACAGATGACCGCCACAGGTTCCTGTCCCAAGGATGCTCTCTGTCTCCAACCAGGAAGTAAGCGAGAGAGCTGGGGTTCCAGACTCCAGACCTAGTCCCCCCATGTCACACCCACACCTGTCCCCTTGCCCCAATGGGTGTGGTCAGTGCAGCAGGTGGGGGTAAGGTAGATATCTCACTACAGGCACCCCTTAACAGAGGAGGCAGAGGCCAGAGCCTTGCCGGTGGCAAGAGATAGGCAGGAGGTCAGACTTTGGCTTTGGTGGTGATGGTTCAGATGCTTCTTCTCCAACCCAGACAGAAGGGGCCAGGAATTCTGTGATCCAGGGAATTACCGCTAGAGACAAAGGGGCCTTTTCAATGATCATCCTGGAGGCAGCCAGTAACTGAGGACAGATAAGTACTCATGAGTCATTGCTACAAACACTGTCCTCCTATGTTGCCTTCCTTCCATGTGTTATCCCCAAACAATAGGCAACGCCCACAGTTGGCAATATCAACCCTCATCAATGAGGCCAGACCCTCAACCTGTTGGCATGGGTCCTAGATGTTACTAGACAACTGTTGTCCTGTGATGGTTAATGTTGTCAACTTAGTGGGATCTGTTATAGAACTGCTTAGGAAATCAGCCGCTGGGCATGTCTGTAAAGGAGTTTCTAGATTGGTTACGTGAGGTGGGATAACCCACACACAGGCTGGGGCTCTAGATAGAATAAAACTGGTCTGAGCTGGTCTGATGGCTCCTTGGTTAAGAATGTGTATTATTCTTGCAGAGGACTAGAGTCTGATTCTCAACACCAATATCAGGGGGCTTTCCTGTGACTCCAGCTCCAGGGGAACCAACACCACTCTGGCACATGAACACACACAGACACATGCATGCACATACTAAGGGAGAAAGTGAGCTAGGAACCAACATTCATCTCTACTTCCTGACCGTTCCCTAAAGCCCGTGAGGGGCAGTGTGTGTAATCTGTAAGTCCAAATCAAACTTCTTCTCTCCTCTGGTATTTTGTCAGAACAAGGAAGTAGGTAACTAATGTAAACTTAAAGCCCTGGGTCTGCCTCCTTAGTAGCAACAGAGAAGTGCCATCCCTGGGAATTGTGCTAGAAACCAAGAATGGTTGACAAACATTCAGTAAGTAACTGGAAACGCTTGGAAGGCTCAGGTATTCCTTAGTGATATAGCCCAAGAGCTTGAAGCTTCCTATCCTCCTCCCTGGTTCCCAGCATTCCATCTCACGTTGCTTCTCACCCACATGGAAGAAGACAGTAACTGCCAGTATCTGGAGACATGGCCCCAGTGATGGGGCTGGCTGGAGTCCTGGTCCTCTGACCCTTGACAGTGTTAGACACCCCTGTGCAGGGCCAGTTGGGTGGGGTGATCCAAAGTGCAGCAGAGAAGCAGAAAGTTCTAGGTTCTAGAAGGTCTCAGGCCTCCTGGTTGTCCCAGAGGACACCCTCTGTAGAAGCTCTCAGGGTGTGAACATATAAGGCAAGTGAGGTATGGTGTTCATACATGCTTTCAGAACAGTCAAAGAATAGACCTTCAAAATCTATCTGCAGGTCCGGGAAAAAGGCAGGGCACCCACCACCAGAAAGAGCACTTGCTGCACAATGTCCAGCACCCAACTAAAAAGCCACTCATGACCTCACTCAGACTTGTAACTCTGTCCCTGCCAAGAACTGAGGCAGGAGGATCACTGGGGTTTGCTGACTACCAGTCTAGCTTCAGTTTCAGTGAAAGATCCTCACTGAACTTCATGACAGAGTGGAACACCTAACATCCTGTGGCCTCTGGTGCATACACACTCACACACACACACACACACACACACCAGTGCAAAGAAACCTAGACCAGAGTTTCAACAAATTTTGGAAACCCTTTGTTGAAGCCCTCAAATATGAAGGGAGTCAGGGTGCACAATGAAGATGTCATTCCCAAACCTGCCTGGTCCAGGGTGTACAGCTACCAAAGGCAGAAGCAGGATTGGGCCCAGAAACCTGACCTTGGGCTCCCAAAATATCCGGAGCAGAGACCCAGGCAATCAAACCCACTTGAGAGTGGAATTCTGAAAAGTGGAATTCGGTAGTACAGAGGCGTGGGTGTGATGAAATGCTAGAGATAGATATTTCTAGGTCCCCAGCCAAATGAGTGGTTCCCAGCACTTGCTTCGCACACCCTTCAGAGCAGGTGGTGGGAAAAGGAGCTGTCTGTGCTGGAGAGGTCACAGGCTGGGAGTGGGGGGGTGAAGATCAGCAGAGGCACAATGTCTAGACACAATCAGAGCCTTGAGAAGAGCTCCCAGTCAAAGCAATAGAGTAGCCCACACTCGAGTTTGAGAAAAGTATATTAGAAGGGAGAATTGGTCAGGGTGCATACCACTGTAACGGAACACCTGAGCAGTGTTTTGCTTTATAAAGCAGAGTTATACTCTATAAAGAGTAGAGATTTATTTAGCTCATTGTTCCAATCTGGAAAGTCCACGAACATAGCAATAGTATCTATCTGGGGCCTTCTTTCTTCATTGTGACATGACAGAGGATACCATATGGTGAGACAGACAGCAAGCTAACTCATGTCTCTCTTCCTCTTCCTCTTACTCCTCCCCCTGCCCCTCCTCCTCCCAGGGAGTGGAAGTTCTCACTGAGGCATTAGGTCCAGACATCAGAAACAGAGGCTGCAATGCATAACTAACAAAAGTCATTTAAGGAAGAGTTTGTTCTGGCTCATGGTTTGTGAGTACAGTCTGTCATGGCAGGGAAATTGTGGTACAGACCCCTGAAGCAGTGGGTCACACTGACCCTCAGACAGGAAGCGGAAGAGTGGAGAAGCTTCCTCTTTGTTCAGCGTTCCCGCCCCAACCAACGCAATTCAGTTGATCCCTCACAGGCACACGCAGAGGCCTCGCTAATCTAGATGATCCTTATGGCTATGCTTATCTCCTAGGTTGTCAAGCTGTCAATCAACATGGGCCATAACACTTAGCACCGGCTCTGTATTTTTATCTGTGTGCTTGGTTGAGCGTTTATTTCTGAGTGAGGCTGTATCCACATCAAGAATGTGGGCCTGTGGCAGCCTCACTCCCCTACCTCAGCTGGTCAGGGCTGGTTTCACTGTGGCTTCTTGTGTTGTTGTTCATGGCATGCGGTCTCAGTACTCACACCTCGTTTAACTACCCATTTCTGTTTTCATCCAT